TAAGCGAGATTTTAATTGGAGATTGTAAATTCATTTAGCGGACAGTTAGTTTATAAGAGATTTGATCTGGAGATTTTGAGGTTAAGTCGTGTTTGGACATAGGGAATTAATTTTGAAATATCTAATCTGAGTTTGGATTGTCAGATGTGATTTGGACAAGTTCCGAGCCTTGTGCATTCGTGGGACCCGATCACGAGTGCACGGCGTCTGTCGCGTCTTCGGATTTGGGTTCTGGGGCGTGACAGTGATTTTTTCTATCTATCTAGTTTTAGGAACACAATTATTGACCACATATTTTTGGTGCACTCAATGGGAGCACTCCATCTCTTATCTCTTTCTCCTATAAAGAAAGTCACAATCTAGACACTATAATCGAAAGGCCACCAAGAAGGGCATCGTTGTCACCAACAATAGCAACATCTCTTTAAGTTACAACACTCATAGCAAGACTGAGGTTACTAGTGCATCATTCTTTCAATCAATTACATAGTACACACTTGTTATGGAAAAGAAGGAAGTTACTATAAGTCGTGCTTACCAAACAACTTCAATGCTTGAAGATTTTGTGAACAAGAGTGTTGCCCTACATGTTGTTTCCAACCCTAAGTCAAGCACTAGTTCTCATTCTAGATTAACCACAAATTCTCCAAAGAAATCATACTCACCAAGCTTGTTAGAGACTATTTTCATGCTTGTGCTTATGACACAGGCTGACATTGTGTTCAAGACATCATCATTTTTTCCCACATGGCATTTTCATGTCATTTTTGTGGAGAAAAGAATCAACTTATTTGGTTAATTAACAAGTCACCTCAAAAAGATAATAGAAGCACTAAAAAGGGTCGAAAAAAATAAATTTTATAGATAAAAAAAATTTTAAGTAGAGAAAAAAAAAAACCTCTTTTTAAATTATAGGGAACTAAAATGGAGTTTTAATCAAATTTAAGAATTAAAAATTCTCCCATTCCATCTATAGTTGCAAAAGAACTCCAAAATGCTCCTAAGCTTAGATCTTCACTTCGATTAACCTACAAGGCTCCGAGGTGGGTCCTTGAGGTAGACACTCAAATGCTTAAGTCAGCAATAATTAGAGCTACCAAATATGAATCAAGAGCTAAGCTTGAGTTCGGTTTCAATTACCTTTTGAGAAGGACCTTGCGGGATATTTATAGCCTTCAAAGGGGCATCCACGTGTTGTTCTTCACAGGCAATCAATATTATATGTGTCAATAATCACAGGAAGCTCTCCTGAAAGATCTATGTATGTACGGAGTCACTGTAAAATAGGAGTAAGGAGGACGAGCTCGAACTCGACTAAGCTCACTGTTCTCTAACATCGAGGTGACTAGGTTGTTGGGAGTAGATCAGGTTGCTCGAGGTACTTGACCTCGGACTACAACGAGGGACGTGACCTCGGACTACAACGAGGGACGTGACCTCGGACTACAACGAGGGACGTGACCTCGGACTACAACGAGGGACGTGACCTCGGACTACCACCACTACATTAAAGGGCCTTATAAGTTAACCAAAGTGAATATCTGAGCTCAAGAGCATTTTGGAATTCTTTTGCAACTACATTGGTGTCGTCTATGGCAATCCGAACTAAAAGCCTTGCTAGTAGCTGCTACAAAGGTTAACACACGTTCAACGCAACATGAAAGCCCTCAATAGGGCCAAGGAAGAGGTCAATTCCTTAGTGGAAATCCTATATCTCACCTCGTGCCACCTCCTATAGTCTAACACCAGCATGTGGAAAGAACTAGGGAGAATAACCCATACCCAACAGAGATGCCAAATGATCCTATAGCCACCCAGCTCAACGCTATGCAACAACAGTTCGGTGTGTTTCAGCTTGTGCTTGCACAGTTGTTGGCCAGAGACAACCCAGGTGACCCCCTCATCACCCTATTAAATCCAACTAACAATGCACCCAATCACTAGCCTTAACAAAATGTCAATTCACCAGCCCGAATTGTTGTCCTGCCTCAGAGCCAATCCCAAGGCCACTCCCACATGGCATCTCCACCTTCACAACCACCCCAACTAGTTGTCTCAGATGTTTCCAAGAGGCTAGACAACCTAGAAAGAATGATGGCCGAGAATCGAAATGCCCAACCTCAAGCCCAGCCTAGTTCTACCCTAATCCTTACCCCTCTTAATACTAACATCATCCAAGAACCATACCCATCTAGATTCAAAATGCCCCAGTTCGAGACGTATGATGGCACTAAGGACCCCGATGATCACTTGCACGCATTCTGCTTTGTTATGCAAGCTCAAAATGCCTCAGATGCCTTGATGTACAAAATATCCCCCTCTACATTGCGTGGAAACGCTGGACTTGGTACTATAGTCTACAGTCGAACTCAATCAGTTCGTATGCTGAGCTGGCGGCATCTTTTGCAATGAAGTTCTCAAGTCAACGACTGATCAAAAAGATGACCTTCAAGCTCATGCAGGTGGTCCAGAGGGAAGGTGAATCTCTGAAGAACTACATGAACAAATTCAACAATGCTGTACTGGAGATCGGCTCATTCAAGCAAGCCGTGGGATTAGTTGCCATAATCCAAGGTCTTAAGCATGAGAGGTTCCAAGATAGCCTAATAAAGCACCCCCTACCATGTTTGATGAAGCCAATGAAAAATCTTGGAAGTTTATTCAAGCTGAAGAATATGCCTTGTCTGGCAGGCCAACACTGAGCAAAGAGGTCAGACCTCCAATGTGGAGAGATGAAAGGTAGAACAAGAAAAGATTCAAAATGACATAGAACCAAGGTCCATTCCTCACTAAAGTTGACATGCCCAGCTCGAACACTCCACAAAATATAACAAAGCAGATTACTTGGACTCTGTTCACCTTGCCAAGGTCACAGAATGGAGCTCAAAAGGCCCCCACCAATGTGGAGTCTACCTGCCTTAAGAGATCACAACAGATATTGTGATTTCCACTAGGATCAGGGACACACCATGGAGGAATGTCATAATTTGAAGTCCAAGCTCGAGGGTTTAGCCTAGAAAGGGATGCTTAATGATTACATCTCCAACAAAGACCACCTCAAGTTCGTCCGAGAGCAGGGACGACCTCAAGGATCTCGAGATGCAACCAACAAAACTGGAGTTGGCTATGAGCAAGCACCACCCCTTCCACCTTCACGCATCATTCACATGATATTCAGTGGGCTAGAAGCTGGAGGGACGAGCTCAAAACAGTAGAAGCTATACATGAGAGAGGTAAAGCACCAAAATCAAACTCAGAAGAGAAAGTTTGATGAGGCAGATTGGAAGAATCAACCTATAAGCTTCAGTTCAGCTGATTTTGATGCTGTCGTCGTACCACACAATGACCCGCTTATCACCTCGATCATTGTCAATAACTATGAAGATGTGTCCTTGTCGACCTTGTCGACACAGGAAGTGCCCTGGACATCATGTATTATCACCACTTTGAAAGTCTTGGCCTCGACCCTACCCTTCTATAAAAGTATGATGGCTCTATCTATGGATTCAATAATCAGTCAGTCCCTGTGGAAAGAGTCTTGAAGCTCAATGTAGCATTCGGCTCAGGTCAAACATATGTCACTCCCTCAGTTTGGTTCTTGGTAGTGAAGATGGCGTCATCTTTTAACATCATCATCGGAAGACCAACTCTAACCAAGATTCGAGTTGTCATTTCACAATCCCACCTTTGCATGAAATTCCCCACTCCCATGGGAGTAGTGACTCTAAAAGGCAACCAAGAGGTGGCCTAGCATTGCTACATGACTTCAGTCACCCGACCTCGAAAGGATAAGCAATTAACTCTAACGCCAACTTAGCTTGAAATCCCAACTACACAACAAGTAATAGGTGTAGAACTGTCGGATAACAGACCTAACGATGACACCAGAGCCACCCTAGTAGAAGAAGTGGAAAAGGTAGAGCTTGACGACAATGACCGCACTAAGAAAATGCAGATCGGGACCAAGCCAGACTCGAAAGAAAAGGAAGAGCTCATCAACTTTTTGAAGTCGAACAGAGATGTATTTGCTTGGACCTTAGTTGATATGCTTGGGATATCCACCTCAGTTGTAGTATACAAGTTAAGTACCAATCCTCTGAAGAAACCCATAGCTCAGAAAAGGCGCTTGTTCGAGGGAGAGAGGTTGTAAGCAATCAGAGAAGAGGTGCAAAAGCTTTTGCAGGCAAGGTTTGTAAGAAGAGTAGACTACTACGAATGGGTCACCAACCCTGTTTTAATCAAGAAGTTAAATACAAATGGTGAATGTGCATTGATTACACAAACCTAAATGAAGCTTACCCGAAAGACTACCATCCCTTACCAAGTATAGACAAGCTGGTAGAGGCTGCATCTGGAAATGAAAGGCTTAGCCTTTTACATGCTTACTCGGGATATCACCAAGTCCACATGGCACCCCAAGACGAGGTGAAGACCATCTTCTACGCCAGTGATGAGATCTATTGTTATGTGATGAGGCCGTTTGGACTCAAGAATGCAAGGGCTACATATCAAAAAAAGGTGACGATTGTATTTCGAGCTCAAATCGACAGGAATTTAGAAGTCTACGTTGACGACATAGTGGTTAAAAGCCTCAAAGTAGAAGATCATTTGACCAACTTAAGAAAGACATTTGATAACTTGAGAAAGCACAACATGAAGTTGAACCCGGCCAAGTGCGTCTTTAGGGTTGAATCTGGTAAATTCTTGGGATTCTTGGTCTTTATAAAGGGAATAGAGGTCAATCCCGAGGAGATAAAGGCAATAGAAGAGATGAAACTACCAAAGTCGATCAAAGATGTACAATGCTTAATTGGGCGGGTGACAGCTCGACACAGATTCATTTCAAAGGCGGCTGATAGATGCTTGCCTTTCTTCAAAGTCTTGAGGTCTGCAGCACAAAAAGACAAAGCAAGGAAGCTCAAAAAGTTTGAATGGACCTCGAAGTGTCAAACTTCCTTTGACAAGCTCAAAGCATACCTTAACTGGCCACCTCTACTAACCAAGGCTGAAGAAGGCGAGATTCTTGACTTCTACCTTAGGATATCAGACACAGCGATGAGTTTGGTTTTGATCAGAGAACTGGAATAGCTACAAAGGCTAGTTTATTATGCTAGCAAAGTATTACAAAGGGCCGAGCTGAGGTACTCCATAGCAAAAAAAACAACTCTTGCAGTTGTCACTATAGCTAGGAAGTTGAGGCCATATTTTCAGGCCCACCCCATTATTATCTTAACTGTCCAACCTCTGAGGCAAATTTTACAGAAGCCAGAATATTCAGGCAGACTCATCAAGTGGGCAATGGAACTAGGGGAATTTCATATTACATTCCAGTAGAGGTCATCAATTCGAGCTCAAGCTTTAGCAGACTTTGTGGTTGAATGCACTTCTAACCAAGGAAATACCAATTTCGAAGTCAAACTATGGATCCTCTATGTGGATGGCGAATCTAACAATAAAGGGTTAGGTGCTGGGGCAGTGTTGATTGGACTTGAAAATTTTCGAAGTGAGCATGCTCTGAAGTTCAACTTTGAAGCAACCAACAACATGGCTAAATATGCGGCCCTTCTTCTCGGACTTCATTTAGTAGCTGAATTGAAAGTCAGATCTCTACAGGTGTATAGTGACCCCTAACTTGTCGTCAACCTTGTAAATTCCATATGTGAGGTCTTAGATCTTGTTCTAGCCCAATATTTGGCTATAGTTTATGAGCTGAAGTGCCGATTTGAGAGATTCCAAGTCACAAGTCCCAAGGTCAAAGAATGAACACGCAGACTCTTTGTCGAAGTTAGCCTCTAATAACTCCAAAGTTTGGAGGTTTGTCCATGTTTAGGTCCTTAATGAACCAAGTATCTAGAAGTTAGAGGTGATGGAAGTTAGTATTGATCTTGAAACTCCAAGCTGGACAGATCCTATCAAGGCCTATCTCCGAGATGGAACCGTCCTAATTGACAAACAAGAAGAAATGTGGAGAAAAGTATCTCGGTACACCTTGCTTGATCGTATGTTGTACAAGAGGTCATACTCACTTCCTTTACTTCACTGTTTAACCCCCTACGAGGCCGAGTATGCCCTTCACGAGGTGCATGAGGGTGTCTGTGGAAGTCATATTAGAGCTCGGACTTTGGCTCACAAAGTACTCGACCAAGGATATTATTGGCCCAATATGCAAGAAGATGCCAAAGAATATGTTCAAAAGTGCCAATTCTTTGCACACCTCACTCACCAACCAACAGAAGAACTCACTAACTTGGTCGCACCATGGCCCTTTGCTCAATGGGGGATAGATTTGTTGGGTCCTTTTGTCAAAGGTGTGGGGGTAGTGACACACTTGGTCGTGGCAATTAATTACTTTACAAAGTGGGTGGAAGCCCAACCACTATCTAGCTTGACCTTGAAAACGATTGAAGATTTTGTTTTTAGCTCAGTTATCTGTAGGTACAGGATACCGAATCCGTTTGTCACCAATAACGGGCCTCAATTTAATTGCACCTCCTTCAGGGACTTTTGTTGGGTTTAAGGGATCAAATTGGTATTTACTACAGTTTATCATCTCGAGATGAATGGAATGGTAAAATCTGTTGGCAATGTTATTCTAGAAGGGATTAAGCCGATGTTGGACCAACTCAAAGCCAAGTGGGTAGACGAGCTCAACAATGTCTTGTGGGCTTACCAAACTACCAATCAGATGGCCACAGGTATGCTAATAATTCTAATTCCCTCATCCGAAGTCATAAACAATCATGTTACATAAACTTGTGAACCACAATTTTTTTTTAATTAAATAAGGGAAACACTCTATCACATGGCTTTTGGGACTGAGGTAGTTATTCTTGTTAAGGCCGGTGTCCCTAGTTTGAAAGTTAGCCATTTCAACCCAGCACGAAATGACCTACTACTTTGGGAAAACCTTGATCTCTTGGACGAAGTCTGCGAGCAAGCTCGACTTCAGACAATGGCATATAAGTAGAGGATAGCCAGCTTTTACTATAAACGACTTCGACCTTGAAGTTTCAAGATCGGTGACCTCATCCTTAGAAAGGCAAGACTCACTAACTTCGAAACCCGTTTCGGCAAACTAGCATCGAATTAGGAGAGCCTATATGGAATAATTGAAATGCCCCACCTCGGTGCTTATATACTTCAAGACGCCGAGGGTAAAAAGGTCCATAGAATATGGAATGTAAACAATTTAAAGAAATTTTACTCTTAATAAAGCCTGGTTTTATCCAGTCATAACATTATGTTTTTTGAAGTCAAGGTTGGGTATTCACTTCTACCTTGGATTAAATATGAAATAGGTCAAGTTACACATTTAATATTTTATTTTTGAAGTCGAAGTTAGGATCTCACTTCAATTCTGATCGTGATCTTATCACTAATTCCTAAGGTTAGACATTTACTTTTCTATTGTTTAATATGAGCTCGGTTTAATTTTAGTTCTGCCTTATCTAGATGTCCGAAGTCATACATTCACACAAAAATTGTAAATAACAATAATTTTTTTGAAATTATAATTTCATTCATTCCATAATAAAAGTACAATGTTCTTGAATTACATCAAAATTTAGAAGAGTTGGCCGAAATCAGTTGATCACCAAATGTTGTTGATCCACCTTTTGCTCAGCAACATTCTCTCCAACCTCAACATTCGTAGGAACCTCGGCCTAATCTTCGTCAACGGCGATGAACTCATAATCCAAACTTGAGGGAAGCACAGTTCGTCCAGCCCCATTCCACTCCCAACTGAGAGTTATGTCTGGGCAGAACTCGGCTGTTTTACTCTCCCTATCTTCCTCCACCCCAGCCTCTTAAGGTCCAAAGGTGATTTTTGTCACGTTGACGTCAGGATTCTTAGCCTTCACCTTTTTTCAACAATCATTGAATGCCATCACAAGTGTAGTCATGCAAAAGAGGTCCACAATCTCTTAAAACGTCATCGAATTGACGAAGTTGGAAGCATGCTGCTCAACTGAGTTGTGCACCTCTAACTCGAATTTCTTCTACACCTCGGCCAACTCATCTTTCGCCTTGGCCAACCCCTTCCCAGCCTTCTTCCTCTTCTCCACCTCGGCCTCAGTGCTCGCCTTGGCAGAAGCCAACTCCTCCCTAACCTTCTTGCACTCTGAGGTTAGGTCAGTGAAGTTTTGCTCGGTTGACTGCTTGTGTTGGTTGAGCTCTTCATTCTTCTCAACCAGGTTGTTCCTTTCCTTGAGGCGGTTGTAATATTCAACTGCCAAGGCATTTATGAGGTTCACCGTCTATAAGAAAAGTTGAGGTTAAAAAAAAAAAATGAAATGACAAACTAACTGTAGTCCAAGCTCTTACCTCGAGTGCATGGCGCACAACACTAGACCCTCCATGCTCTTCCACCTCATGCCGGGCTCTCTTGAGATCCACCTTGGGAAAAGTGGATCTGAAGAAGCGCTTGGCAACAGTCTTGCTTGTACTTTCGTAAGTGCTTGACTTCTACCTTGGGATAGGGGACTCCTTCCCCTTCTCATGCGTCACCACCCCCACTTCATGCAGAGATGGTTCAATCTGCACTAGTGAAGGTCGAGGCACAAACTCAATGAAGGCATCGGGCTGAGGCTGTTATACCTCCTCCACTCTTCTCCTCTTTTGCGTTGCAACCTCCTCAGCCGTCTTCCTCCATTGCTCCAAGCTGAGCCCTATTTCAGCTCGGGCCCCCCCGCTTGGGCAAGACCTCAAAGTCCCACCCACTACCCTCTCCCCCACAGATGGGGCAGCTAGAGCCTTTGACCTCTTCTCAAGCAGGGTAACGGTTTTACCTCCAGACATAAGCCGATTCATTTCTCCTGCAAAATGAAAAAGAATTATTAAAACGCTTATTTTATACTTTAGACATGCTTAAAAATAAATAAACAGACCTTCACTCATGGAGCTCGGCCCATAGATCTCTGTCGCCTCTAACAATGCCGAGCTAGTGAGATACATGATATCCCTTACCTCCTCATCCCTTCTTTCCAACCTTTCCACCTCATCCTGCTCCCCCGAACTTAATGAATATTGGTTGGGGTTAGCCTTCTTCCTCTCTCACCTATAGAGCTTAGCCACCTCTACATCTGACCTCCCCCACTCCGCATCATCCACAAAGAAGAACTTATCCTTCCACCCCTTTGTAGATGAAGGACCTGTGCTGAATAGGTTCTTCCCTCCCCCCCAGCCACCCAAGGTGTGAAATAGAACCACCCATTCTCCTTATTATTACCCCTTTTTATTAAGAAAAAATATTTGAAGATGTTAACCGTAGGCACAACACCTCAAGTTTGGCAATAAACTAGGAATCCTAGGAGCAATCGAACAGCATTTGGGATGAGCTACGTTATTCCCACCAACAACATTACTAACAGCTTAGGCACTGGAAACCTAATCCCAGCTGTCAATTAGTGCTCGTATACTGGCATCCAATCGTTCCTTGGAGCCAAGCACGCTTGTTCCATCTCCCCAGTTGGCATAAGTAAGGCGTGCCCTGGGATGGAATATTGCTCCACTAAATGGGCAAGATCACTTCTACTCCTCCACAAACTTTGATATCCCACCACCTCCGAAACCACCTCCTCCTTCTCATTGTAGTACTTAGCCCTACTATGATCCACTTCTAACACATTTGAAGGAACCTTAACCTCTTCCATTTCACCTCTAACCCCTTCACTCCCTCCACTCCTAGAACTTTCTATTTCACTTTCATTGGTTGAGCTCAACTCCTACTCCCCCTCTCCACTTCCAATACTTAGTGTCTCTTCTGAAGACATCCTTTGTGACTCACTACAAGTAGGATGGGGAGAACAATTAGGATCTTGAACTAATTCCCTCGCTCTCTACTTCGATCTTAGACCCATTCCTAATGTTCCCTACCAGACCTAGTCTTAGGTCTGAAACGAGTTAGATTAGATAGTGAAATCAAAAGTCAAGCTTAAGAGATTTTCTAAAAAATTGCAAGCTCAGACGACGAGATGCTCTTGTTTCACTTCAGCAGCACTTTGCTATAAAAACAGTAAGGTAAATTTTGAATAACTCAAGCCCAGTTATTTATACTGGAGCCTCACTCCCCCTCGACAGTCATGATCGTTAGAATCTAACAGTCACCATCGCGTCCTTTTGAATTCGGCAATTATCCCTAACTGCGCCATTTATTACAACGCGTCACATGAGGACAGTTGTCGGCCTCTCAAATTAATTCATATGATGTTACGTTGTTTTCCTTTCCGGTTCCATTTCAAAAACCGGTCTAAATTCAACCAAATCATATTAGCTACTACTTGGGTCAGTTCATATTCACTCATAATATTTTCACTTTGGCTCCGGCCATATTACATGACCACATGTCATGATTTTTCACTTCAACTCCGGCCATATACTACACGACCACATGTCATGATTTTTCACTTCGGCTCCGGCCACATTACATGACCACGTGTCATGATTTTTCACTTCGGCTTCAGCCATATAGTACATGACCACATGTCATGCTTTTTCACTTTGGCTCCGGCCATATACTACATGACCTCGTCATGATGTTCCCACTTCGGCCCTGGCCATTTACCACAACCTCATGTCATAACAACTTCGATTAAGACCATACATCATGACCTTGCACCATACCCACATCATTTCCACTTCGCCTTGGGCAATTACCCTCAAATTCAATCCAAACCTTCATATCATTCACAAGTGAATGACTTCGGGGGGGGGGGGGGGGGGGGGAATAGTGTAGTGGTGGTAGTCCGAGGCCACGTCCCTCGTTGTAGTCCGAGGTCAAGTACCACGAGCAACTTGATCTACTCCCAACAACCTAGTTACCTTGATGTCAGGGAACAGCGAGTTCAGTCGAGTTCAAGCTCGTCTTCCTTGCTTTTATTCTACAGTGACTCCATATATACACAGATCTTGCAGAAGAGCTTCTTGTGATCATTGACACATATAATCCTGATTGCCCGTGAAGAACAACACATGGATGCCCCTTTGGAAGCTATAAATACTCCCCAAGGGTTCTCCTCAAAAGGTAATTGAAACTGAACTCAAGCTCAGCTCTTGATTCATACCTGGTAGTTCTGATTATTGCTGACTTAAGCATCGAAGTGTCTACCCCGAGGACCCACCTCGAGGCCTTGCAAGTTAACCGAAGTAAAGATCTGAGCTCATGAGCATTTTGGAGTTCTTTTGCAACTACACCATCCAAAGCCATCTCGCTTTCTCACACTGCAAAATCAATAAATCATCTCACATGAAAGGTTCAATCAATTGTCGTTTGATAAGATCCAAAAATGGAAAAAGGTAGAACAAAGAAGAATGACAAAACTTAAAGAAAAAGGAAAAGAAGAAAGAAAAAGAACGAGAAAATAAAAAAATTCAAAGAAGTTTAGAGGAACTTACAAATCACATTATCGCCCACAAAGATTACAACACAATTTTTGTTAAATAAATATACAATCAACAAGTTAAGTATTTGCTATAAACTATAATTAATTGGTATAAACTACTAAATTGTACAATTAATCAACACCCATCTCTAGATCCCATGCCAAGTCAACATTCCAGATTAGCGTTGTGTCAATACTCCCTTCTTGAAAACATCCTTGTCCTGAAGGATGAAGTTTGGAAATGATCAAAAAAAAAAAAAAAGGTTCTTGTATAGTCCCCATATACCATCTTTAATAGGCAAGTCTTCCTACTTTAAAAGCCATATAGTAACTGGCTTATTTGTTTGTAAGTGTAGAACAAGTCATCTTGGTAGTTGTCTTGTTGCGTTTCTTAAAGTTCCATAAGAGATCCCCTTTTATAGTCATATTAAGGGACAAAATACATAATCCCTTGTTGCTTCTCCCTTTCTCATATCCTGCTATATACTTTTCATGAGGTCAAAAGCAAGCTTTTGTGCTTCTTACAGCATATACCTGACCATGATTACCAAGACTGTCAATACCAATTTCCAAGGAATCAACGTCATACTTCAGGCGAAACTCTTGCAAAATTCTCAACCATATTGCGATAGGTCCGAGGGATTGTTTGCTTTAAGACCAAATGATAAGACCCAAAAATAGAAAAAGGTAAAAAGAGGAAGAATGACAGAAATTAAAGAAAAAGGAAAAAAAGAAAGAACAAGAAGATAGAGAAAAGTTCAAAGGAACTTGCAATATCACATTATCAACCACAAAGATTACAACACAATTCTTCTTAAATAAATATACAACCAACAAGTTAAGAAACTGCTACACTACTTAAAAAAGGTTTAATTCAGATTGACATATACGGACTTACTCATGTTGGTTCGTCTAAATATATATTGAAACCAAAGACGGTCTGAATAAATTGAGATGCAACCAAGTCTGTTAATCAATATATTTGACCTGTTTTTGGTCCGTATATTGTTGGTGCCAAATAATAGTGCAACCACGCTAATATTTTACAAACCAAAAATGGTCTGAACGGTTTTTTTGTAAAAAAATAAATATTAAATAGTAAAATTTAGTAATAAAATATTATTTAAATGATATATACGGACCAAAATCGGTCTATATATATTATTCTGCTAAGTACAATTCTATTTTAGATTCTTTTAATATTTGGATTGATTTTGGTCCGAATAATGAATATTACACGGACCAAAATCAGTTTGAAAAAGGGCCTTAGCGAATCTCTGATCTGAGTAGACACTAGGGTACACTCGTCAAACCTACACAGACCAAAAACAGTCTGTATATGGTCTACCTTGTTGCATGCATCCTTTCTTCTTCCTCGCTTTATCGATCCCCCGCTCCTCATATCTCCTCTGCGATTTTCCTCTATTTTTTTCTCCCATATTTCTTCCTTTGCACTACAGGGCATCTCTTCCTCCAATCTCCAAGTAGCCACATAGGTAAGTAGCAATTTTCGGCTAGTCAAAAACCGGCAATCTCGATGGTTGATTTTTTTTTTTCAACATCGTAACCATCTATTTCTTCAGATCTAAAACCTTTATCACTAGATATGGGCATCTACAGTCATATTGATTTGGAATCTACTCCATAAGTGAGTTTCCTAAATTTTTTTTCTTATTATTTCCTTTTTTTTAATATTTTATATTTTTGAGTAAATAAATAAAGTAAAATTTGTATTTAATAATTAAAATGGTAAATTAGAATGTTGTTAAATCTTTAATTTTGTCTATGGTAACTGATATCTCTTTATATTATGTCTAATTTGTGTTTTGCCAAGTTGGTTATTTTGTAATATTAACCATAAAAATGTATTCTAGTTTTGTATAAAAAAATAGACTGTGTAGAAGATTAGATACAATTATTTCATTGTTTAATTATAAAAATATTAAAAAGATTTTATCTTATATAAAATATGAAAAGAATTTTGTGTATTGTATTAAATTTTGAGAAAAGTAATGTATAATAAATTAATATTAAAAATTATATATTTAGATATTATTAATTTTTTGTGTAGATTAGTTTGATTATTTAGTTGCAATTATACTATAAACTTTATGGTATAGGAAAAATTTAGACAAAATTATATTTATACATACTTTAAATAATAAATTATTAGTTAATTAATTATATTTATACATACTCACAAATAGACCTGATGTTTTGTACAAAGAATATGATTCGATATCTGTGTAATAAGTGTTGGAATAGAGAATGGAATCATCAACGCAAAGTGCAATCCCATCTTATCAAGCACAGCTTCATGGATAGGTATCTTATTTGGAAAAGACACAGAGAAATTATTCATAAAAACGGCATTGCACCCATGTGGGTGAATCATCAAGTGCTGCCATTGTCATTGTTGCTATTGTTATGAATGATGTTCCGAGTGTTGATCAACTTAAAGACATGCTTCATGATGCCATGGGACCAAATTCTTTTAATAATGAAAATAATGCCACAGGGGCAGAAGATGCAACATAATTTGATGCTAGTTTTGATGATCCATATGGTGTCAATACAGAATCGATATTTAAGGAGCCAAGAGGAGATTCAAAAGAGTTCTTAGATCTTTTGCGAGTAGCTAACACACCTCTTTTTGATGGATGTGATGACGGTGTCACTATCTTAAAGTGAGTGTGTGAGCTCATGACTACAAAGACACTTTTTAACATGAGTGTTACTAATTGGGACTATGTGCTAAAGTGTAGTCTAATGGCCTTCAAAAAAGTTGATCGAGAGAAATTGCCAACAAATTGTTAAAGTGCCAAGAAAATGTTGAGGCGTCTAAGTCTCGGGTATAAAAGTATGATGTTTGTGTGAACAATTGCTTTTTGTATTATGAAAAATATGAAAGCCAATGTGATTTACAATGCCCAGTATGTGGAAAGCCACGATTTAAGCAGCGCGATGTGCATTTTGCTAAGCCTATACTTAGAAAGTCTTTGTGGTATCTTCCAATTTTTCCAAGACTTGAGAGATTGTACATGTATAGGAAAATTGCAGAGCATATGACTTGGCATTTAAATTGTTGTAATGAAAATGAAAAAATTGTTCATTGATGAGCTAATTCCACTCTAGCAAGTGTACTAGTTCATTCAAGTAATATAATGATAAAAATAAAGTATCATCCCGCAGAGACCATAAACTAATTAAGTACCAAAATTAACCAATTCTAATTTTATTTGAACAATTGAAATTAAATGATTTAAATGAATTAAATGACTAAGCTAATTAAAGAAAAAGTAAATTGACTTTAAGTAACACCAAGAGTTAAAATTCTAAGGCATCCAATTTCAATATAATCAACTAATATAGAATTTAGTTTAATATACTTCCAAAGTATTTAATATTTATGTGACAGCGAGATTTCCTATCCTATTTGATATACTTTCTCAAGGTATACCAAGCCTATCTTCACCTATTAACCCACTATATCTTTATGTGAATTTAAATAGATAAAGATGCATTATGTTCTGTGAAATTCCCTAGTTTACATGGAAAATTAAGTCTACTTATCACTAAGGCTGCACAAATCACGTTGGTCCATCTTTGGCTTTCATTCAATTCATGGTATATATTACTAGAAGCTAATGCATAAAATCTCCTCTCAGTTCAATTAGGCTCTCCAAATCAATTTTAATGGTGGCCAATCATTAAAAAGCATTAAGAACAATAATATATACTCTACATAAAATAATAAACGGCTTAATTCAATTTTTAGTCTATTAACTATCACCTTGATTTCATTTTAGTCTAGAAACTATGTTTTATTTCTAAGTGGTCTATTAACTTTCATATTCATTTCAATTTCGCCTACTTGGTCAAAGATAAGGGAAAACTTCCTATTCTGTTAGAGAACAGTTAGTCCTCTAACTATATTTTTTTTATCTTTTAGTCCTCAAATTTATATTTGTTATAAAAATAGTTTTTATACTTAAAATTATTATTTTTAGACTCTGATACCAGATTTTTATACTTAAAATTATTATTTCTAAGTGGTCTATTAACTTTCAGGCTCTAATACCAAATTAAAGAAATAGGAAAACCCCATATAAAAATCTGATATTAAAGCCTATAAATAATAATTTTAAGTAAAAAAACTATTTTTATAACAAATATAAATTTAAGGACTAAAAGATCAAAAAAAATATAGTCAAAGGACTAACTGTTCTCTAACAGAATAGGAAGTTTTCCGTTATCTTTGACCAAGTAGACGAAATTGAAATGAATCTGAAAATTAATAGACCACTTAGAAATAAAACATAGTTTCTAGACTAAAATGAAATCAAGGTGATAGTTAATAGACTAAAATGAAATCAAGGTGATAGTTAATAGACTAAAAATTAAATTAATCCAATAATAAACCTTAAAAGTATAAAAATTATAAAATTATATTAAATTGATTAGGCTACATCGTAACCTTAGATGGCTAAATTAGTTCATAATTAAAGAAAAGAAAATCAATAATCCAATGATGAATATATGAGTATCCAACATCATAAAATAAAATTCAAGGACAAGCAAAAGTAGTTTGACGATATAAAATCTCAAGTCTTAATCTTCTTTTGTTGTTGAATTCCTCTTAGTCGTCTCTCTTGGTCCCCTCTCAAAAGCCCTCAAACTGATTTTTGAATGGGTATTTATAGAGTTTAAGAAACCCTATTAGAAAATAAGTAGGACTCAAAACAAAATAGGAAATTGGGATTTTGGACGTTGAACGCACAATGACAACACCCTGAATTATGTGTCGACACAGAATAGGAAACAGAATCTATAATTCTTGTCGCTTGACGCATAGTGTCGACATCCCAATGTGTGTCGACACCACACGCGTGTTGGGTTTCTGGCCTCATTTTGCAATTTCTTCAATGGTAAAATTTCAGATCTGATCCTCCAAGTTTTGTACGATGAGCACTGAGATCTCGAAACTTAAGATTCATTCATTTAGGTCCTAAAGAAGCCTCTTTCTTCTTGCAGTTCAATCCCTCAACTTCCAGAAGATGTTCAATTAATTTCAAAAACTCCTATTATTATGCATCCAAGTCTTTCCTACACAAAAAATGAAACCCATGTAAAATCTCATAAAATTCATCCAAATATTAATAATATCAAGGCCAAAAATTCAACATTAATATGTATATAAATTCAGCTCATCAAATTCCCCCAAACTTAAGTTTTGCTAGTCCTCGAGCAAAATAAAATGACAAAAATAAAACCTAACTCACTTTCGTATGAATCACGATTGCATTTAGCATGTGCAACAAACCTTTAAACCCCTAGGTCATCCTAGTAGACGAGTTGTGTCTCGTGAGGGTTTTTAGTGGATCTACCCACAAAATCCTAATGCAAGAATGAAACTACATGATATGCATGCAAAGAAAATTTAGGAATTAAAATTCAATTAGATACAAAGTCTCAAATATTCAAGAGTTTCAAATACTCCCTTAACTTCAAATACTTCATCCTATTCTTTACACCACTTATCAAAAGATTTAGCTCATGAGCACTTAGTGTGTGTGTGAAAATTTATAATGAGAAGTTTTCGAATTTAGACCTTCACACTTTACCACATTATTATTATTATTATTATTATTCTTATTTCTTTTTGAGTCAAGTTTCCTTAGGCTTTCTAAGTTACCCATGTAATGAGTTTTCTGTCAATGACTCCCAATCCAGTTGGCTTTAAGGCATTAGGTAAAGAGACACCCCTAAGAACATACTTACTCAAGTAACAAAGGCCACGAAACATTTGACATTTTTTTTTAAGCCATACACATATTTTTCCCAAAGCTATCACTTGCCTTTTGACGCAAATACTAACATTTATGATGAAAGCACCAGGTTACTCAATAAGTCATAAATTTAGAGTGCTTTGCATACTCATATTTTAAGTCACCGTTTGACGTGAAAACTAACATGAGTCTCATGTCGAACCCTTAGTTACTAAGCAACTAGAAACATTGGAGTATAATGTAATAACTCTTTTGTATTGGCTTCTTTTCCTCTCTTTTTTCTGTTTTTTTTTTTTTTAATGCTTTTTAAGTGCTACTAAGTCTTCTTTCTAAACTTCTCACTATAAACTTGTGCTCAATTGAAATACAATACTCATGAACTTAAACTTCATCACAATGGTGTTATTTTTCAGATTTTATATTTTTCTAATAGGGCACTCATGAATTTCTAACTCCTGAATATTTAAATCTTTGCTACTAAATGATCAAATTCCTAAAAAAATAAAAAAAATGTTTTGTAAAGAGAAGAAAAACAGAAAAGAAAAGAAAAAAAATTGGTATGCAAATAACATGAATATGATCTAATGCAAGTATGAGCATCAAAATATATCTTCCTCCCCCAAACTTAAATCAAACATTGTCCTCAATGTTAAAAGAATAAGTAAAGGAGAAAGGAAACTTCCCAGATTTTATGCGCTTGAATATACAAAGTTGATCTTGAGGCTTGAATTTTCCCTCAAACTTGTGCACTAATTTGAAACCAAAAAAAAGTAATAATAAATCAGTAATAATAAAAAGAAACTAAAGAAAAATAAAATGGAAAAAAAATTTAATGCTTGGGTTGCCTCCCAAGAAGCACTTAATTTATAGTCATTAGCTTGACTATCTCAAATCATTATCCATGATTGCATAATTCGGTGGTGGTCTTGTGTTTGTTGCAGCCACCATTCTCTTGGTAAAGTCACACATTTTCATAGATTTCATGTCGATTTGGAGGCTCTTCATTACCCAAATTGGGTTTTTGAGGATTTTTAAATTTTGGCCTTCTCAATTTTGGACTTGGTGGAGATGCTTTTGAAGAATGTCCTTCCTTAATGGCCTCATCTTTGACCTTGGTTCCCTGTTGTTGCACAATAAAATTCTCATGTGGATTTTTAGGTACTTTTTCTTGCATAACCTTATTAACCATCTTGTCACTAGCTGCAAAACATTCTTCAATATCATTAGAAGGATATTTTACAGCTTCAAAAACATTAAAGATAACCTGTTCATTCTGCATTCTAAGAATCAATTTCCCTTCTTGAACATCTATTAATGCTCTACTAGTTGCAAGAAAAGGACGACCTAAAATAAGAGGGACCTTGTAGTCCTCTTCCATATCCAGCACTATGAAATCAACAAGAAATATAAACTTATCTACTTTTACCAGAACATCTTCAACTATACCCCTTAGATATTTGATAGATCAATCTACAAGTTGAAGGGATACATTGGTTGCTTTTGGCTCTCTAAGTCCTAATTTCCTAAAAACAAAAAAAGACATCAAATTAATACTTGCTCCCAAATCACATAAAACTTTATCAAAATGATGATTTCCAATAGTGCAAGGAATGGTGAAACTCCTTGGATCTTTTAATTTAGGAGGAAACTTATTTTGCAAAATTGCTGAACACTCGTCATTTAAAGTCACCATTGCAAAATCTTCTAATTTCCTCTTATTTGTCAAGATGTTCTTCAAGAATTTTGCATAATTTGGCATCTGAGCTATTGCATCTACAAAAGGAATGTTAATGTGCAATTTCTTAAGCATGTCAAAAAATTTTCCAAATTCCTTATTGTATTACTATTGCTTCTAAGGAAAAGGAATGGGAGGCACATATGGCTTGATTTCCTTGGGTTTGGGTGGTTCTTGAACTTCATCTTCCCCATGAATTTCTTTCTCTTTCTCTTTTGATTCACTTATCATGTCTTGCCCTCTTCGAATTTGTTTCCCACTTCTTAAAGTTATGGCATTTACATGTTCCTTGGGATTTATCTCTGTATTGCTGAGTAAAGCTCCTTGGTTTCTTCCAGAAATCATATTTGCCAACTGACCCACTTGAACCTCTAAATTTCGTATTGCTGCACCTTGGTTCTGGACTATTGCTTCCAGGTTCTTGGTTGCTGCTTCTTGACTTTGAAACCTTGATTCACTAACAGCAATGAACTTTTTTAACAAATCCCCCAAATCTGATTTTTTTCAAGTGGTTGCTATACTACGTTCTGATTGTTGCTCCATAAAAAATTTGGATGATTTTTCCAACCAGGATTGTAAGTGTTGGAGTAGGGATTATTTTGTTGCCTGTTAAAATTACCAACAAAGTTAGCACTCTCATGTGATTGTGTAAAGGAATTACTTACCTGACATTCAGCACTTGTATGTCCTCCTCCACACCAATCACAAGTTACATGCTGGACATGCCTAGTAGAAGCATTCAATTTATCGAATTTCTTATGGAGGGCTTCCACTTGAGCAGTTAGGACTTTGAGAGTGTCAACTTCATGTATTCCAGCACTTCTTTTGATTGGTGTTCGTTCAGAATTCCATCGGCAATTATTTGAAGCCATCTCCTCTACTAGCTTATAAGCTTCCTCAGGAATTTTACCCATTAATGATCCAGCTACAACTAAGTCAATCATGGTATGAGTATTTGGGAATAAACCATTGTAAAAAGTTTGTACCTGTAACCATATAGGTAGACCATGATGTGGGCACATTCTAAGTAAGTCTTTGTATCTCTCCCATGCCTCATACAATGACTCCCTGTCAAACTGCATAAAAGTAGTAATATCGTTACGCATCTTGGCAATTTTAGAAGGAGGAAAGTACTTACCAAGAAATTTGCTTGACATCTCTTCCCAAGTAGTAATTTAGTCCAAAGGTAAAGAGTAAAATCAATTCTTTGCTTTATCCCTCAAAGAGAAAGAGAAAAGTCTCAATCTTTTTGCATCTTCTGAAACTCCATTATACTTGAATGTGTCACAAATTTATAAAAATCTAGTCAGATGTTAATTTGGATTTTCATTTGGCAATCCACTAAATTGGACTAATTGTTGAATCATTTGAATGTAAGTTGGCTTGATTTCAAAGTTGTTAGCTTGTATTGCTGGTTTTCGTATACATGAAGCCACACCGTCCATTGAAGGTGATCCATACTCTCTCAAGGTTCTTACAACAACTTATTCTGCCATCTTGTGAGGTTGATTGACAACTAAAGCTTCCTTCCTTGTGTTTAAAAGGTGAAAAGTTCGCTCTATCTCAGGATCAAATGGTGCAAGTTCTTTGTCTTCAAAATGAGTAATGCACCAACTTGCACACCTGAAAAATAAATAAAAGAAAAAAAAATCAAATTAAAACTAGAATTAATCTGTTTTAATATTAATTAGAGCCAATACAGTCCCCGACAACGGTGCCAAAAACTTGATGAGCTAATTCTACTCTAGCAAGTGTACTAGTTCGTTTAAGTAATATAATGATGAAAATAGAGTATTGTCCCACAAAGACCGTAGACTAATTAAGTACCAAAATTAACCAATTTTAATTTTATTTGAAAAATTGAAATTAAATGATTTAAATGAGAAATGACTAAACTAATTAAAGAAAAATAAATTGACTTTAAGTAACACCAAGAGTTAAAATTCTAAGGCATCCGATTTCACCATAATCAACTAATATAGAATTTCAATTAATATACTTCCAAAGTATTTAATATTTATGTAACAGCAGGATTTCCTATCCTATTTGATATACTTTCTCAAGGTATACCAAACTTATCTTCACCTATTAACCCACCATATTTTTATGTGAATTTAAATAGATAAAGATGCATTATATTCTGTGAAATTTCCTAATTTACATGGAAAATTAAGTCCACTTATCACTAATGCTGCACAAATCACATTGGCCCATCTTTGGCTTTTGTTCAATTCATGATATATATTACTAGAAGCTATTGCATAAAATCTCCTCTCAGTTCAATTATGCTCTCCAAATCAGTTTTAATGGTGGTCAATTATTAAAAAACATTAAGAACAATAATATATACTCTACATAAAATAATAAACCTTGAAAGTATAAAAATCATAAAATTATATTAAATTGATTAGGTTACATTGTAGACTTAGATGGCTAAATTAGTTCATAATTAAATAAAAGAAAATCAATAGTCCCATGATAAATATATGAGTATCCAACATCATAAAATAAAATTCAAGGAGAAGCAAAACCAGTTTGACGATATAAAATCCCAAACCTTGATCTTCTTTTGTTGTTGAATTTCTCTTAGCCGTCTCTCTTGGTCTCCTCTCAAAAGCCCTCAAATTGATTTTTGAATGGGTATTTATAGAGTTTAAGAAACCTTATTAGAAAAGAAGTAGGACTCGGAACAAAATAGGAAATTGGGATTTTGGACGCTGAACGCATAATGCCAACACCCTGAATTACGACACAGAACAAGAAACAGAATCTGTAATTCTGGTCGCTTGACACATAGCATCGACACCTAGATTATGTGTCGACACCACACCCGTGTCGGGTTTCTAGCCTCATTTTGCAATTTCTTCAATGGTAAAATTTCATATCTGATCCTCTAGGTTTTGTACGATGAGCACTGAGATCTTGAAACTTAAGATTCATTCATTTAGGTCCCAAAGAAACCTCTTTTTTTGCAGTTTAGTCCCTCAACTTCCAAAAGATGTTCAATTAATTGCACAAACTCCTATTATTATGCATCCAAGTCCTTTTCTGCATAAAAAATGAAACCCATGTAAAATCTCATAAAATTCATCCAAATATTAATAATAACAAGGCCAAAAATTCAACATTAATATGTATAAATTCAGCTCATCATTCATCCTACATGTGGAGATGCGTGGAAGCATTTTGATTACAATCATCTTGAGTTTGCTAGTGAACCAAGGAATGTTAGGTTAGGTCTATGCACCGATGGGTTCACTCCTTTTAGACAATCTGCATCTCCGTACTCTTGTTGGTCAGTATTTGTGTCAGTTTATAACTTGCCTCCAACAATATGCATGAAGCAAGAATATTGATTATCCAAGGTCCCCAAAGTCCTAGAATGAATATTGATGTAATGCTTCGACCACTAATAGATTATTTGAAGAAGTTTTGGTATTCTGGAGTCCAAACTTATGACAACTTTAGGCGTCAATACTTCATGATGAGGGTTGCACTTATGTGGACCATTAGTGACTTCCCTGGTTATGCAATGTTGCCTGAGTGGAGCACACATGGTAAATTAGCTTGTCCTTATTGCATAGAAAATTCAAACGCCTTTTGGTTGGAACACGGTTGGAAGACATCATTTTTTGATTGTCACTAACAGTTTTACCATCGGATCATCCATTTAGGAGAAATAAAAATGACTTCATGAAGGGTCGTACAAAGAATGGAGCAATGCTAGAGAGATTGGCAGGTAATGAGATGCACAGTCACATTCATTGGTTGCCTGATATACTATTTGGTAAACCATCTCAGAAATAAGAAATCTACGGATTTAGTGAAGTGCACAATTGGGTTAAAAAGAGCATTTTTTGGGAATTACCATATTAGTACACAAACTTGATTCGATACAATTTAGATGTCATGCATTATGAGAAAAACCTTTCTGACAATATCTTTCATACAGTGATGAATGACCCTATAAAAAAAAGTAACATAAATACAAGACTTGATCTGGAATTTTATTATAAAAGGAAAGTCTACACATATTAAAAACAAGAGTGAATTCGAGTAAAAAACCAAAGGTCACTTATGTTCTTAGTAGGGATCAAAGAAAATCAATATGCCAATGGTTGAAGGAACTTAAATCCCTAATGGATTTGCCTCCAATATATCTCAGTGTGTCAATAGACAAGAGGCACGATTATTCGGTATAAAAAGTCATGACTGTCACATTTTTCTGCAAAGTCATATACAATTACATTTCATGATTTATTACTGAAACAAGTTTGGGAGCCACTTGTTGAGATTAGTGAGTTCTTTAGGGCCTTGTGTGCTCCTCTGATTCAAGTCAATGACATGCCAATATGGCAAGAGAGGATAGCAAAAATCATTTGTAAGTTAGACCGAATCTTTCCACCTTTGTTCTTTGACAGTATAAAGCATCTTACAATCCACCTTCCATACGAGACTTGTGTAGGAAGACCGGTGTAATTTTAATGGATCTATCCATTTGAGAGGTAAATATAATTAATGTATAATAACTCCATCTATTATGTTTCATTGCATTGAGGTTAGAATACTAATTCGGTACTTCAACTTTCAATTTTATATCAAAGCTACCATTGAACTTAAAAAATAATTCTAAATGGTCCTTGAAAGACCATTTTAGAACTTTTTAAACTTTGAGGGTATGTTTGATACAAAATTAAAAGTTGAGGTACCAAATTAGTATTTTAACCATAACTTAATACATAATAATTCTTGGTGAATCAGGCGAATGTATTGCCTTAAGTTGACAGTGAAAAACAAAGCGCGTCCTGAAGCATCCATATGTGAAAGTTACATAATGTTTGAGATCACAAATTTTATCTCTCATCACTTTGATGATAGAGTACATAGTACAGTTGATCATCCTCCTAGAAATATTGTTGTTGAATTTGATGATAATGGTGGCCTATCCATCTTTAAATGTGTTGAAAAACCTATTGGTTGCAAAGTTGGAAGACGTTACTTGATAGTAGAGGAATGCAAAGCTGCTTCATATTATGTGTGTTAATAAATTGCGAAGAATTACGGGGATGGGTCAGGTAAAAAACCTAAACACTAATATCTTTAATTTGCTATATTAAGGTTCATTGAAATAAAAATAGTATTAATATCTAAAAAAACTATTATCATATTTTCTAGTTTACTTGAGAAAGAACAATGTCAAAATATGAATCCTCAACAAATTCAAGCAAAATGAGAGAGAGACCTTGTGCCTTGGTTTGAACAAGTTGTGAGTATTTAATAATATGACTACTCAATTCCTTAACATATGTTATTTCTCTTCAAATGCATCTAACATTTTCTTCTCCAATTTGTATATTTTAGGTAACTAGTGGTGAGTTCATTAATGTCCATGAGCATATCAAAGGCTTATCGAGCAGTCGTAAAACTTATGTTTCCTATTATAATGGATATATTGTCAATGGATTCTGATTTCACATTGCTCTCTATGGTAGAAATAAGCGAACAATGAATTATGGTGTATGTGTTGTCAAATCTATTGGTATTGAATCAAATTATGATTTTTATGATGCAATTCAAGAAATTATTCAAATTGAGTACTATGGATCAATCCATCAACAAGTAGTTGTTTTATTCAAATGTGATTGGTACAAAATTCCTCCTGCTCAAGGGGTTCAAGTGGATCAAAACATCGATTGGTTGACATTAATCCCACAAGATACTTTCGATCTTATGAGCCTAAGTAAGGCAGGTTTATTACACACCATACCCATCTATTTATCATGAAAGAAGGGGATGGATTGCTACACTTAAAATTAAGGCTAGAAGCTATTAAGACTCCTGAGAATAAAGATGACCAACAAGAAGGATTAGCACCATATTTCCAAAACGATGAGCCTTGTAGTCCTCAACCAATAAATATTGATGACGTTGCTTATGAACCTGTGCAATATTCTAATGGGGGGTTTATTGAAATACATGAAGAAGCTGATGTTAGGAAGGGGATTGGGGAAGAGGATGAAGAAGGGGAATGGGATGATTTTGAGACATCAAAAGAAAAAAAACATAGAAACATATGTTAAGGAGAATGATAGTAGTGATGAGTAAGTAATAATATTCATAGAAACTTATTGTTATATTTAGAGTTAATATTTGCTTGTTTGTACTTTTATAACTATATTAGTTATATTATATGTTATTTAATTTAAAATTGTATAACATTATCATTACTTTTAAGTTTACACTTGCTTATTTATACTTCTATAATTGTATTAGTTGGAATACAATCTATACGTCTATTTTTCGTTATTGTTAATTTTATTATTTTTTGTTAATATTTATATAATTTTTTTATTTATATTAGTTATACCGTATGTTATTCAATTAAAATGTAATTTAATTATTATTTGCTTATCTATAGAAATTAAAAGTATTCAAATTTTTATTATAATTTTAATATAAATTTATTGCATTTAAATTACTTTATTAATGATTTTTTTTTTGTATTTATTATATTTTTTACAGTGGATTGCTGTAGTTCTTGTTGCACGGAGACTGTAGATTCCACTCAACCATTGCAATAGCCAAATCCGTTTGACCCCCAAAGGTGGGTTCAAGAGGAGGATCCGACAGATGTGATACTAGAGACTCCAGTTTCAAATGCTGATACACAGGTTGAGTCTCCCAGTGATGAAGAGATAAATGTGGCTATCCCCCAACAGACACATGGATGGGGGCAAGCTAAGCCCCTATATATGCTTATAGATCGGATGAAGATCCCATCAAAGCTAGATGAGTATGGTGGTTTGCCACAAAAGGTTAGACAACAAATTGTGATTCAATTGCGGGAGAATCTCCCAAATGCTTATACATCGAAGGGATAGGTCCTTTCTGAACATAAGAAAATGTACTGGAATAAATTCTGTGTACACCCTAAACACTTAATTTCTATCTTCAAATTTTAAGTAGTTTGAATTTTTTTGGTTATTATCATTAATAATTTTTTATTAAATTAATTATTTATTTATATTTCTATTTTTTTTGGCAAACATATGAATGGGACC